GTCTGATGACTAATCACGTGGGTGGGGAGGGACATGTGGACGACAGTGTGTAACTAGCAGATGACAAATACAAGTCCCTGACGCCGAAAGAAAAAACCAGTAGTCCATTGGGGCCCTCATAAGAGGCATGCTGGGTCAAATTCTGTTGATGTTATCTCCAGGCACGGCGACTGTTGCGCAAGTTCTAAAGGTTAGAAAAGGAGATTTTAGACTACGATGCCCTCATTGACACTCCTGAGCGAAAAAAGAACTGACAGAAATATGCAAGTGCCCTTGCACGCACACATGGAGTTTCCTTACTGGCCGTTAGGGAATAAAAGCTTTGGATCACACATGCAAAAGACGCCGATGTTCACGGAGCTCCTGTTAGACCCCGGGAGTACCGTATGTTGCGAAACTCGGGTAGCCTGCCAAAACCCACGAAGGCTTCCCAAAAGCACTAGAAACTACTGAGAGAAGTGTCCTCGAAGGGTGCATTTTTAGCGGACCTTTCAGACTGCCGAAAATGCGCGCGGGGGATTTAAATGGCTGAGTAGATTATGCGTGATTTCATGCGGCTTGCCTATGGTAATGAGTGGGCAAATTAGACATACAGTGCGTGACCTATCTCATGAAATGTTGGCTGAAATTCTGAAATACGTTTTCGATTAGGAAGGATTACTTGGTCGCGGTTGTGATGCTGATTATCTTAAGGCATAATCTTATAACATTTTGGACTCGGCAGTATGTCGGCTTTAGAATGCGCTTCTTTTCAATCTCATGTAGAAAGCGTGCTCGTTAAAAAATGACTACTTAAGTAGCATGCATTTTTCTCATTGATTTTCGATGGTCTTGGAAATTCGAATGTATTTTTTTAGAAAACGCGAACAAAATGTGCTTTATTTTAGTCAGTCAATAGAGAATCACGTCTTCTTTATATTTGATACTTAAGGAAGGAGTATAATTAGGTTTTAAAAAAGTTTTCTAATTGTCGAAAAATTTGGAGCCTGATCATTCGTTGCATTAACGCTTAGTGATTACACTCTACAAGGTGCATGCGTTCCGCGTAAAGAAAATACCATATTTTTCTCTGGCATTAGAGATATTATACAAGGTCCATAAAATGTTGCAATGGATGCGGACCATGTAGTACATTTCATGAGGAGCAGTGGTAAACTTTTAAAAACCTAATTATACTCCTTCCTTAATTATAAAATATAAAGAAGCCGTGATTCTCTATTGATTGACTAAAAAAAGCACATTTTTGTTTGTGGTTTCTACAGAATATATCCGAATTTTCAAGACCATCGAAAATCAATGGGAAAAATGCATGCTACTTAAGTAGTCATTGTTTACCGAGCACGCTTTCTACAGGAAATTGAAAAGAAGTGAATTTTAAAGCCGACATCCTGCCGAGTCCAAAATGTTATAAGAGTATGCCTTAAGATAATCAGTATCGAACTGTGCAATGATTTACCGTACTAACAACACAGGTATTAGCTAAAAGCCCAGACACGCGTGTTTCGCCGATCTTATGCCGCTGTCTGACGCAGCTGCGAGGGGTTCGGCTCGTCAGTGGGTCCCCCAGCATTCCCCGTGTGTTTTCTGGTATATGAACTCCAGTTTTAACTTGCCTTGTTAATCAGTATCACAACCTCGACCAAGTAATCCTTCCTAATCGAAAACGCATTTCAGAATTTTAGCCAACATTTCATGAGATAGTTCACGCACCGTACTATGCGCCAGAAAGGTTCAAGTAGCTGTTTTTGATGATCGGGATTTGTACGTGAACTGTGAGAGTTCGTCGGCTGCCGTGTGTCGAGCAAACCTTTTCGAAATGAAATGGAGTTGTCGATGGGAAAATCTTGCTTGTTGTCTCCTCTTAGAGATGAGATTAATTAGGACACAAGGGTTTATGAATGCTTTTGCGATTTAGTAATCCACACAAATGGAAGTTCCGATTAGACTGCCTACCGAGAAGCTGACGACAAATTCCAAAGTTGGGTATTTATAACAACTGCAAACGTGGGTATCACTTTTTCTGCAAGTGAGCAATTTTTCTGCAAAATTGATTTTTCCATCCGACGACCGTGAAGGTCGCCTGTTTGAGTCCGTATCAACCTGGATTAACCAATCGTAGCACGCTTGTTTCCCGCGCGGGAACGTATCAGGTTTCCAAAGTCCACCTGGAACCAATCTAAAGGCGGCCTTAAAGGGCTTTATGGTCGAATTACGAACTCGCATTTTACTATTATTAGAACTGTTAGACCTTTTATATCGATCTTGGAGCCTTTATCAGTACAGTACGCACCTGATTACAGTTCTTCCCTATGGATGCTTTGAGTCGTATTTGATGGTTGACCTAAAGATGAATTTCTGTAGTCTAGGTCTGGGACCATTAGATGGTGTTCGGCCGTTTTTTGGCTTGAAAAGCTTTCGTTGAACTGTTCCTCAAAAGCTAAATTATAACGTCGATTTTTTCCCAAAATACGGTCAGCCAGAAAGTCGGAAAATTTTCCCC